AGTTTGGAAGAGATGGGAGCATGGAAAGGTTGGGAAGGGATTGAGGGTGGATCATCTTACCTACGCTCACAGGGTTCCCAGTGCATATCCTGAGGAGAAAAGAAAGGGCTCAGAGTTGTGTTTTGGGAAATAATTCTTGAATAGACAAGGAAATGGAGGTTTTGCCCAGTTGTCCCCTGAGAAACCTTCAGGGTGCTCCAGGTTTTAGGTGCATCCAGGTGGGAGGGGATGGGTCAGATGGTCCAGGGAAGCACTAGGAATTGGATCCCACAAATCCACAGGGATGGGTCAGATGGTCCAGGGAAGCACTAGGAGTTGGATCCCACAATTCCATAGGCATCCTGATATCCCTTTGGCTTTTGGGGTGGGATGTTAAGGTAGTTGGAAAGCAAAGGGGTCTGACCTCAGCGTGCTCAGGGCAGTGGGAGGATGGAGAGGAAAGAGGGACAATGATTTCCTCTGTGTCCATGGGGAGAGGAAAGGGACAATGATTCCCTCTACATCCATAGGGAGAGGAAAAGTAGTGATGGTTCCCTCTGTGTCCATGGGGAAAGGGAAGGGACAGTGATCTCCTCTGCACTCATGGGGGGAAGAAAGGGGCGATGGTCCCCTCTCCACTCATGGGGAGAGGAAAGGGAAGAGGTTCCCTTGAGCCTACGAGGAGAAGAAAGGGCTGATGGTCCTGTCTACACCCATGGGGAAAGAGAAGGGCCCATGCTCCCTCTGCTCCCTTGGGTGCAGCATTTCTCTCTCCATCCTTACCAGCTGCACCCAGGGCTGCTCCTACCTGCTCTCCTCTCCTTCCAGCAGTGTCCTGTACGTGGCAATCTCAATGTCCAGGGCCAGCTTGACGTTCAGCAGCTCCTGGTAGTCTCTCAGCAGACAAGCCATCTTGTCCTTGGCTTGCTGCAGGGCAGTCTGCAGGTCAACCAGCTTCTGACGAGCATCTTTGAGGGCACAGTCCCCTCTCTGCTCTGCGTCACAGATCGCTGTCTGCAGGGCTGAGATCTGGGGGCAGGAATGGGAAGGGAGTCATGGGATGGATTGGGTGGGAAGGACCTTAAATTCCATCCCACCCTTGCCATGGGCAGGGACATCTTCCGCCAGCCGAGGTTGCTCCAACCTGGCCTGGAACACCTCCAGGGAAGGAGCAGCCAGAACTTCTCTGGGCATGAGAGTGACCAAAGATGATATCAAGAGTTATCTGCACCAGGTTACTCCTGTCCCCCCAAATTTCTCAGCTAGGAAGTGCCAGAGAGCTGAGATTTAGGCTGGATTTGTGGTGGCCAAGCAGTTTGGGATGAAGGAGAAGACACCTCTTAGTTGTACCTTGGTGGGAAGGCCAAGGCAAACACGGATTCTCTTGTAGCCAAACCAAGTGGCTTCGAGTGAGGAAGAAATTTGCTTTTTTTGGGGTGTGTTAACAGCAGCTAAGAAGCTACAAATAGGTCTAATCTGGGCTGGGAGGTTCTGTGGGGCTCCTCAGGGTGGGAGCTGGAGAGGATGAAGCTCTTTGATGGAGAAGTTGGAGGGTTCAGCCCTTCTCCTACCTGTTTCTTGACGTTATCCGACTCGCACTGCAGCTTCTGGATCATCCTGTTCAGCTCAGCTATCTCACTCTGGTTGTTCCTCAGGTCATCACAGAACTTGCCTCTGCTGCTGTGGAGCTCCTCCAGCTATTGCAGGGCGAGAGGATGATGTTAGCACACCCAAATTGCTCCTTCCAGGGAAGGTGGTGACTCTCCAGAGCTGCACTAAGGTTGGTGCTCCCAGGGAAGAACCAAGACATGACCTCATCCTGGACAAGAAAACAGTTCTGGGCAGGTCTTGGACTTGATGATCTTAGAGGTCTTTTCCAACCTTAATGTTCCTCTGATTTGCCCTTTCTCTGGGCAGGTCTTGGACTTGATGATCTTAGAGGTCTTTTCCAACCTTAATGGTCCTCTGATTTGCCCTTTGGGAAGAGGATGGTTCCGCATGGATACACCCATGTCCCTTCAGAGGTCTCTTACATAGGTGTCTCTTCAGAGGAGACATCTCTGAAGCAACACCATGACCTGTTGTCCTCTGTCCTTCCAGCAAAGCCTCAAACCTCACCTCTAAGGTTGGTTTGGGGTTGGTTTCTTTGGCAAGACCTTCCCTAGCAAACCCCAGTGCAAGCCCAAGGTGAGGTGGGTTAAAGGTGTGTCACGGAGGACAGAAATGGTCCTCAGAGTGTGGTTGGCCAAGGGAAGTCCTCTCCAGCTGTGCTGGTGGGTGAATACTCACTCTGGTCTGGTAGAAAGCCTCGACCTCAGCTTTGCTCTTCTGGGCAATCTCCTCATAGCAGCACTCCACACTTTTGATGATGCCTTCCATGTCCAAGTCCCTGCTGTTGTCCATTTGCACGATGACAGAGGTGTCACACAGCTGACAATCCATCTGAGCTCTCTCCTGCAAACACCCATCCCACGTCAAGCCCAGTCCCTCACCCAGCCCAAGCCAAGCCAACAGCTCCCCCAGCCAAGGTGGGTCTGGTGAGAAGGTTGGAGGAGGTTCTACCATCAACACCCAACTAGAGCAGCAGTCTCCAGTTGGGTGACTGTTTTCCAGCACAAGGAGGCAGCTGGAGCCTGTTTTGGTGGCCCAGGGTGGGATTGTTCCCTAAGGAAGGGTGGGCAATGAATCGGCTTCATTGCAACCAGGTGTTTCTAGCTGTGCCAACAGTTTTCTGGGCCATGAATCCCTTGGGGGGGAAACTTTGGGCCTCGTTAGGTGCTGAGTGGTGAGTTCAGCTCAAAAAGGTGTCGATTCCAAGTTTGGTGCAAAACTTGTGACACTGTAGGCAAAAAAAGTGTCATTTTCATCCAAATATTGTAGACAAAAGGGTCATTTTCATCAAGGGGAGGTCAAAAAGTGAAGTGCCAAAAATCTTTGGCCATCCCAGGGCTGGTTTGGATTAGGCTTTGAGTTCTCAAGTTCTCTTTGCAGCAGCAATGGGGGAGACAATCAAGACCTCCCTTTGACTTCCCCAACTGTCTGATGATGTTGTCAGCAAATACATGCAAAGAGAAGGAGATTTGGGGGCTGAAATGCCAAGATTTTGGGAAAGCAGACCTTTCCCTGGACTTGGTTTGGGTGTCAGAGCTCAGGGGAAGCAGGAGTTGATGATCTGACCCCCAGGGGAGCAGGGGCAGAGCCTGGAGCTCTTACCTCGGCGTAGATGCACTTCAGGAACTCCAACTGCTGCCGCAGGAGACCAACCCTGACCTCCAGCTCCTCCTTGGTCAGGTAGAGACAATCCACATCCTGCAGAGACACCAGGGGTTGGGTGAGAAAGAGGAGGAGAGAACAAGGACTGATGCAAACCTCATGTTCTCTCTTAGATGTGGAGCAAACCTCAGTCCTTCCAGCCCTGGAGACCATCTGGGTTTGGGTTGTACGTGCTGGGAACCTCATGGAGGTTCTGCAGCCTCAGTGGGTTGTCTCATTTTTGGGGCATCAGGCAGTTCTAGGACTCCTCACTTCTTTCCCTGGCCCCACACCCACTCCCAGTTGGGCTTGCCCAGGTTCTCCCTCTCATTCCTCACCTTCTTGAGGACCACGAACTCATTCTCCGCCGCCGTGCGCTTGTTGATCTCATCCTCATACCTGCAGGAGGAGAGGAGAATGGAGGATCCAAGTGGCCCATGAGACCATGGGAAGTGACATTTCACTTTGGACCTCTTTGTTTAATGAGTGTTTTGGCTTTGTGGCTGTTTCTTCTCCCCACACTGAGCTTTGCTCAGCAGCTTCACCTCACCCAGCCCGGAGGTGAGTCCTGGAGTCAGGGGCAGAAAATCAGGCCAAACCACTTGAAATGCAAATCCTTGTCCCTCAGCCTGAGGCTTGGCTTGCTTCTCCTAGCCCTGCTGCTTTGTCAGACGTTTTCCTGAAGCATCCAGGACTATTTATGGGGTGAGTGTGGCCAAAATGCCCCAAGGAGGGTCAGGAGCTTGAGCAACCTGAGAAACTCCAAGGTGCAAGAGGAGGAAAGTCAGAATGACTCAGTAATTAGGACCCGGAGGAACTTTCACAAGGGGATGGTTGGGTGAGTTGGGACCTGCTGAGTGGTGGCTCAGTAAGGACAAACACCTGAGATGTTAGGATGAAACATCTCTGGATAAAGGTTTGTCCAGTGTCCTCATTTGTGGCTTCGCAAAGAAGATGAGGAGATACCAAGGGACATCTGCAGCTCAGACTGAAACCCAAGTCCCTGTGGGAAGTGAGGTTGAATCCCAGTGGAGATGAGGTGGAGATAAAGAGGGTGAGGAGTTTGTGGGAATGGGTGGCAGAAGATTAGGAGACCTTGGGGAGCCGCAGGGGAGAGTTGATAGGACAAACCACAGTGCTGAGGGACAGGAGAAGTGAATCCCTGTCCTTCTCCCTAAGGAAACTGTGGTTGAAGAGCTCTCCCAGTCCATCACCAGCACCTGAGGTGCAGTGGTGAGACCCCAGTACAGGAAACCAGCCCAGTACTGGTGTTCCTTGCCCTGTGTCCCAGTTTTTTGGACCTACCCAATGGCATTTTCTTGGCTTCACACTCAGAAACTTCACTCAGAGCAGTGAAAACCCCTTCCCTCTCTGCAGGACTTACTTGCACTTGAACTCCTGAACAAGGTCCCGGAGACATCTCTCCTCGTTCTCCAGCCTCTCCCTCTCCCCCATCACACACTCCAGTTGCTTCCTCAGGTTGCAGATGAAGTTCTCAAACACAGGCTCCAGGTTCCTGCGGGACGCTGGCAGCACATACTGCTGCAGCAGCTCCCACTTGGTGGTCAGCACCTTGTTCTGCTGCTCCAGGAGCCTCACCTGGGAGGGAAGAGGTGGCACAGTCAGGCAATCCCATCTGTGCCCAGCCAGAAGGTTTCTCCACCTCCAAAAGGGACATGGGAAGCAAACTGGAATTGCAAAGGGCTGAGTGGAGGTTTCTCAGCAGGGGGAGTGGGACCAGCACCTTCTCTCAGCTCCACCTGGTCCCACCAGCATCTCCTCTCAGCTCCACCTGGTCCCACCCAGGACTTATACCACAGGCTGAGCAACATCAGCACCTTTGCTCTGAGTGCTGAGGCCAATCGTGGGTTCATCCAATGCTCAGCTCAGCCAGACACCATCCATTGCCCTGCCAGGACCCGGTGGGGATGATCCGTGGCCTCCCTGGTGGGCTGAGTGTGGTCATGAGCC